CCATGAAGGTATATGTTGCTTATTTTTATCATATAAATTTTCGTCAATTTTGCAAATTACTGGTAACAAACAAGAGTAATATGATAATGAAACTGTGAAGAATAAAAAATGGTGCAGAAAAAAGCTTTTTAATGATTCAAATGTTTGCCTCCCATATATTTCATGGTTTCTTCAAGTTTGAATCCATATACATTTCAAAGCAAATAATTTTGAACAATATTTCTTGACTTACAGACTTAACCATGGTTTTATTAAGCTGTTTTCTACAGATGATTAAAATATGTTCAGCGGAAATAAGCTGTATATATTTTACTGAATTTATATTATATTATATTTATTATATATATCGAGTATTTTTAGATGTGGGTGGCAAACTCTAAGAACCTCATACTAAAAATTGGATTGAACTATTGTTTATTATTTTATGCATTTTATCATTCCTTTCCTTAGTAAGCACAATATTATTTTCAAAATTAGTTTTAAAAGTTTTCTATAACCCAAATCTCATTATACTTCCATTAATTATTATTGTCATTCTGTCTAAAAATAAGTGACATATCACCTGATTGATTACTTGGCAAAAGTTAGTGTTTTAAAATGCAAAATACATTGTAAAACATATATTTTGAATTTAAAATCATAATTCTATTTTTAGAGTAAAACCATTGATTAAAAAGGCAACAATTTAAAGTTTATTTTTATATCTTCTTTCACATGTCAATATATAACAATCTTATAAATATATTAAGTTATAGATTTGATGTAAGTTTGGTGTTATATTAAGGGATAACTTGTTTTGGTATTCAGTAGTTTGAAGCCTGAATCAAGATATAAATATGACATGGGTACATAATTTTTTAGAAATTGCATTTTATCTGGCAAGTAATAAGAATAATTTTCTTTTCTTCCTAGAGATAAAAATTTCTAGTCAATTCTTAAATTGCCTAAATAGCTCTCTATGATTCTTGTAGCAAGATATCACAGTTTCAGAATCCAGACAAGTATGCTTTTATTAGCTGCTGAAACATAAAGAATTAAAATATAGAAGTTCTTAAATGTGTTGGAATTTTCACTATTTTAATTATTTAAAGATAAATTGAAAATAACATAAGTCAAATATTCAAGGATCAAGGGCTGGGGATTTAGCTCAGTGGTTTCACTGCCTGCAAGTGCAGGGACCTAAGTTTGATCCCTGGTACCAAAAACAAAAAAATATTCAAGGATCCACTTATCCTTCATGCCCACACTTGAAACATTTGAAATGTCTAGAGTATTCCTCCTTCCATTTCTAGCATGGATAATGTCTTTTATCTCCTTGCTCAGACAAAATACCTGACACCCAAAGTTACATGGGGAAAGGTTTATTTGGGTCACAGTTTGTAGAGGTTTCAGTCCATAATCGGCTGGTTCCACTGTGAGTGGAATGCAAACAGGCATCACAGAGAAGAAAACAGTCCATGACAGGCGGAAGGTAGCAAAAGCAACAAGGGACCTTAGCAGCATTTTTCTGCCCTTTTTATCTTATCCAGGCTACTTAGGTGGGCAGCACTCACTCCCTTAATCCTAGTGCCCTTGAGCCTAGCATTGCACCATGAATCGATTCCAGCATCACACACTCTAGATCCAGCCACCTCTGAAAAGCCCCACCTGTGGCCGCATGAGGCTTTAGGTGGACATTGAGACAGAAGCCATAATTTTGAAGTAAGTGTATCTTTCAGAAAGACAAGCAGTGTCTCCTAAGGAGCATGCTTCCATTCTTTGATGTGCTGATGCATGTCCTTATGGTCCTTTAGTTCTTCTTGGTAACAAAGTCTTTTTAGACTTCAGTTGTTACAGAGCCTAAAGTAAAATACTGGCAAAAGAAACTCTACTTTTTTTGAAAAAATGTTTTCCTGGTGCAGGATTAAAATAAGTCTGAAATGGCCCAGGATACTGCAGTTGTGACATCAATAAAAGCGTTAAGAGTAGCTCACTGATAGAGCTATGTAATTCCTAGAATTTGGTAAATGAGGTGCAGGTACAGTGAGGATGTGGAGCCCTTGAAGAGCCCAGGAGCATTTTGTTTCCTGGAAAATGAAATAAACCATATTTCTTATTGCTCTTGTCCAGTTCAGTGGAAATCACGGACATTCTGTTTAAAAGGAAGGAGAGGAAGAAGGGGAATTGGAGACTAAGAGGCAGACTCCTTGGGAACCTCAGAACTTAAGGACTGAGTGGTGATTTTTTTTTTTTTGCATAATTTGGAGTTGAAAAGAGAGTGGTACCTGGAAAATGAAATGGATGCTGCATAAAATCCCTGAGGATAGTCTGCTTTGTCTAGCAAGAGGGCAAAAAAGGGACTGCTCAATATTATAGAAAAATTTGGCTAATAGTGTCTCTAATTCACTCAAATATCATAGGGAAAAAAATTCTGGCCCCATTCACATGCACCACAAAGGTGGTGGAATAAGTGGAGCCTCCATCTTATGAGGCCCTCCTAAGGCACCTCAACCCCACTGAAGTGGTGTCATTGGTGTCGGAGAAGGCCAAGTGGGGAACTATGACTCCCATCTCTGAGACCAATAACCAGGCCTCACTTCCTGTTCAGTGTCCGTGGAGATCTCCTTGGGAGCATGGACTTCTGTCCCCCACCTGAAAGTTGCAAGCTACTCTTCCTCTTCTGCTTTGGAGGACACTGTAGGAGGAGGTGGAGAGTCAGGATCTCAATCTTCACCAAGGCAGTGCCCCTGCTGATTCAGGAGGATTTCTTGGACTACTGGGACCTCCCCCACCACTTTCAGGTATTGCAAGGAACCCACCCTCACTGAGCAGAGAACCTGGACTACTTCTTCACCTGGCAATTATGAGTCCACATCCTTCCTCCCCTGGAACAGAGTCAGAGAAAGTCAGCAAAAATAGAGGGTTTAAATTCTCCTAATATAATATAATATGAAAAAGTGTAAGATTCAAGAGAAAATCATTCATCCTGAAATAAGATCTCAAATTGAATTTAAAAATCAGTACATGTCCAATCTAAGATGTCAAACTGAGAAATGTTTGATATTAAAGGGTCCATGATAAAAATGCTTCAGTGAACTATGAGATATGTTGAAACAAATGAAAAAAATGGAATTTCTCAGAAAAAAGAAAAATGTCAGTTGTCATCAAAATCTGAATACATAAATACATGCTCTTTTGGCTTGTGTCTAGCTGTCCCTCCAAAGCCTCATGAACTCATATGTGGAACTTTTCTGAGGTGGCTGCATCTGTGATGCTGGAATTAAGGGTTTGTGATTACTAAATGTCCAAGTGATTAGTTTGGTATAGTTCTGGGTGTGGAAAATGGGAAGGGCTACCCTGGGTGTGAGTGCTACCTGCCCTAAGGGTGCATGGCCGGGAAAGAAGGGACAGAAAGTGGGCTGCTGCTGTCTCTTGCTTCTTTGCTACTTCACTGCTTGCTGCCTTGCTGGCTTCTGACTTCTCCCAGCCATGAACTATTTCTCCTGTACTAACTACGAACTGAAACCTCTACAAACTCCTTTAACTTTGAGTATCAGGTATTTTGTCACAGCAATGAGAAAAGTAAGACAGATACATGCATGCAGACATATATATGTACTTAAGTATATACATATCAAATAGGAATTTTAGAACTGAAAATATATAATAACGAAACCATAAGCTCATGGATCAAACTGGAGGTAAGAATCAATGAAATGAGAGTTATTATAATAGAAGATAATCAAGCAGAGAAAAGAGATCAGGAAAAGTAAAGGCCCAAGATATAGACGTGTAACAGTGGCTCTAGCATTTTTGTTATTGGAGTCCTTTAAATAATCAAGAATAGAGCAAGTTTGCAAAAGTACTCAAAGAAATAGCAACTGAAAACTAAATTTTGCAAGTGTCATCAACCTATATTTTCAATAAGCTGTGAAAATTAAAATAAAAGATTAATCCACAAAAAGACACATTATAAATACACTTCTAATCATTAAACACAAAAACATTTTTTAAAAAATCCAGAGACAATGGTTTATCCACAGGGAAAATACAATTAGAATGTTTCATTCTCAGGAGAAGGAATGGAAGTCATAAGAAAATGCACAGTATTTGTTACGTGTAACAGCACACAGACAGAACTGAACTGTGATTCCCACAATCCTGTACCTAGAACAACTGTCTTTCAGAAAGGAAGCAGAAATCAAGACATTTGCAGATGAAGGAAACCAGAGATTATACTGGTAAATCTCCCCAAATAATGGATAAAGTATTTCTCTGAACATAAAACAATAAAACATGACCTTGGACTATCATGGTGAAATAAAGAACACAGCAAACAAAAATATAAATAAGCTTTCGTTCTGCTCCTGAAGTTTAAAATTTTTATTTGGTAAGGAAACAAAAATCAAAACTGTAGACTATGGCTGTCAACATATGTAGGAGAAATATTTAACTATAATAGAAGCAGATAAAGGGTGAAAAGAGATGTAATGACTCTGAATATCACACAAATCAGTGTCATGACCAGTAGACTGTGATAAGTCATATATAATACAGTATCTGAACAAACACTAAAGTTACACAAAATGATACACTTAAAATTGATATAGAAGCTGGGTGTGGTGTTGTGTGTCTATAATCCGAGCAGTTGGGGAAGTGAAGGCAGAAGAATTACAAGTTCAAGCCAAGCCTGAGCCACTTAGCAGTGTTTTGGCAAAATCCCCACTCAGTGATGGCCATCAAATCAATGCTGTAGCCTTAAACTCCTAGATCTCAGTGGGAAGTCCTCAGGAAATATTGATATTGATATTGATATTGATTTTCTTCCTAAATAGTATTTGATCTATGTGTTTTGAATGTTTTCTAAAAAATGCATTTTCTGAAAAGTGCATTTTGCTCAGTTCCTTTTCATTAGTATGATCAGAAAGCAAAGGAGGCAAAGTGCCAAGTCTCCCAGACCTGCACCTCCCCTGACCCTGCAGCGAGAAGTGGGGTCCAGTCACCGGGTGTGCTCATCTTACCTGCAGAGTGCTGATGTGAACTGGAGTGCCCATGCCATTCACAGTATTCTTTTTAGCTGCATTTCCACTTTTGCCACCTGCTTGCTCAGCCTTAGCAATTCTGGCCTTTTCTGCTTCCACTCTCTTGGGGTTGTTCAGCATCACCTGGACGACCGCGTACTCCACCAGAGAGGCGAATCCAAAGAGAAGGCAAGCGATGAGCCAGACATCCAGTGCCTTCACGTAGGACACCTTGGGGAGCTCGGCGGCTAGCGTGGTGCACTCCGAGGCCAAGCTGAGCACTGAGAAGATGCCTGCAGACAGAGAGGGAAATTCACGGTGTCCCCAGGAAAGGCTCTGCAATTGCTGCTCTGTCACAAAATTCCTGAGTGGCAACTGTCAGAGTACTACAGGGGAGTCATCAGGTTCCCGTAGGCCTCAGGATGAGAAGACACAACAGGCATGTGCTCCTTGCTTTTGTTGGCTAACCCAGGACCTCAGACCCATTGGGTAAGTGCTACCCTGAGCCCTAGAGGCTTTTGTGTAAGGAGGATTGACTATGATTGGAATGGTGCTAAATACTCACCGAAAAAGTAAATAGAAAGTTAACCCAAGATATAAAAACGGAATTTTAATCTGGCTTAGATAGTAAAGATGTCTATAGTATCTCTGAGGAAGCCATAAAGCCCTCTGACAAGGGAGGATTATTTCATTTTTCAACTTTGTTTTAGAGAGATTTCAGTTATAGAGGGAATTTACACCCACGAACAATGATATCTGAAGAGGAAATAGAACACATAAAGCAACTCTTGGATAAGAATTATTTTCACAATAAATAATCTAATAGAAAAGTCAAAATAGAGAATGTTCCTATGTCAGAAAAAAAAAGGAAATGATCCCAGCTTTTCCAGGAAAGGCATAAAATTCTGCTCTATGCAATATTAACTGCATATGGAAACTAACATATATCCATTCAAGAAAAGTAATTAAAGTGAATGCATAATTATATATAATTTATACAATATAATACACAATAATAAATAAATTTTGGTGAGTAATAGAAACACTTTATTATAGATCTCAGAGAGAAAGGAGGTTCCTATGACAGCTAGTTGGAAGTCCAGAAATCTAGTCAAAGTTTCACTTCTATTTTTTAATGGAAAGTTTTATTTTTAAAATAAATTTTATTTCATCTCATTCTCCCTTCCCCTCAAGCCCCCTCCCCTCCCTATGCACAAAAGCTTTGTTTCCACTTTTCCTTCTACTCTCACTTTTCTTCTATGTTTTGAAATAATGTACAATTTAAGTTAATTATGAAACTTCAAAGAATTGCAGTTCTGTCTCCTCTCCCCACTTGCTGCTCTCCTTCCCATTTTTCCTCTTTTTCTCCCTCCTGTCATATTTCAGAGCAGGAGATTGAGGAAGGGGCCCTGTTGGCACAGGGTGGGTACCACAGGGTAACAGGGGCCTGAATTTACGTCAAGGGGGGCCGCAGGTTCACCCTGGCTCTGTGAGTCCAGCTCACTTCCTGGGCTGACTCTACCTTCCTCCTCTTAGATTTCACCACCTCTAAGATAGAATAGTGAATAGATCATTGTGATATTTACCTATGTGCTTAACTCTTTCTCCTTCCCTTGACATGGTAAGAATTGCATCATTATTAATAATCAGTTAAAACTTAGAATATATAGCCTGTCAGTTGTGTAATTCCAATAGCTTCTGAAAGGTGTCCAGTCCATTTGAAAATGACTGTTCAAGCACTTCAGATACTGTCTACTGGAAAGACTTCTGAAGATGAAAATGACATTAGACATTTAATCATTTGACAAGCATGTGATTTTTATTCCTGTAATTAGTGCTGTTCCTGAGAAAAAAACTAAGACTAATGAATAGAACCATATTTTAAAAACTAGTGGATAAAGAAAATACTTACACACAATGGAGTACTACTCTGAATTAAAGGATAATCTTGAGTCATTTATAAGAAAATGGATGTACCTGGAGACCTTAATGTTAAGTGAATCAGAAACACAATCTTATATGATTCATGGTTTATCTTTTATGAGAAACCCAAACTATAAATAAAAAGCAAAATAAAGATAGATGATAGAGAGCAGGGAGATAATTTTGTTCAAATGGAAAGAGGATTAAGAGGGGGAGGCAGAGGGGCCGGGGATTTAGCTCAGTGATTCCGCCACCTGCCTTGCAAGCGCAAGGTCCTGAGTTCGATCCCCGGTACCAAAGAAACAACAAAAAAACAAAAAAAAAAAAA